TACAAACACATGAAGATTGAACAATTCACTCCCCCACCCAACAATTCTTTTTTGTTTGTTTGGTTTTTTTGTTTTTTTTCCAGACCGGGAATCAAACTCATGACCTTGTGCTTGCCAGGCAGGCGCTGTGCCGCTGAGCTAAATCCCCAGCCCCCAACAATTCATTTTTGAACAGTCAGTGAATCATTGAAGAAATCATGGGCAAATATTTAAAATTCTTGAACCAAATGAAATGGTAGCACAATACACTAGAATCTCTGGGATAAAGTGAAGGCAGTTCTAAAATGGAAATTTATAGCTAAGAGTGCTTGAGTTAAAAAATAAAAAGAGAGATCAAATACATAACCTAACGATGCATTTAAAGGTCCTACAAAAACAAGAACAAATAAAAAACAAGTTCATTAAAAGGGAAGAAATAATAAAGATCAGAGCTGAAATTAATGAACTAGAGGCTGAAAGAACAACACAAATGATCAATGAAACAAAAAATTTTTTGAAAAGATAACAAGATTGATAAACTCTCAGCCAAACTAACAAAAGAAAGAGAAGGCCCAAATCAATATAATTAGAATGGAAAAGGGGATGTTACAACAGACAACACTAAAATCCAGAACATCATTAAGGACTATGTTGAAAACTTATATTCCAATAAGTTGGGGAATCTGAAAGTGGATAAAGTTCTAGACACATATGACCCACCAAAATTGAACCAAAAGGATATAAAAAACCCAAACTGATCAATCACAAGTAATGAGATTGAAACAGTAATAAAATGCTTCCCAACAATGAAAAGCTCAGGACCAGATGGATTTACTGCTGAAATTTATCAGGTCTTTACAGAGGAAGTGATATCAATGCCTCTCAGATTATTCCATGAAATAGGGAGGGAACACTTTCAGTTTCATTCTATGGGGCCAGAATTACACTGATACCAAAATCAAGTAAAGACACAACAACAACAAAAAATATAGGTCATATCCTTGGTGAATATAGCTGTAAAAAAAACCAAAACCTTAATAAATACTTGAAAACCAGTTCAGTGGCACATTAAAAAGATTATACACACTGATCAAGTTGGTTTTAGGCCAGGAATGCAAAGATGGCTCAACATATGCAAATCAATACACATAATAAGTCACATAAATAGGATCAGTGGATAAAAAAATCATTATTATCTCAACTGATACAGAAAAAGCTTTTGACAAAATTCAACATCTGTTAATGGTAGAAGTCTTGAAAAAACTAGGAATAGAAGGATCATACCTCCATGTAAGAAGCTATGACTGTATACAAAAACTTATAGCCAACATCATACTGAATGGGGAAAAACTGAAAGCATTTTCTCTGAAATCAGGAGTGAGAAAAAGATGTCTCCTCCTATGACTTATATTCAACATAGTATTTAAAATGTAGCCAGAGCAATTAAGCAAGAGAAAGAAATAAAAGGGATACGAGTGAGAAAGGAAAAAGTCAAATTATCCTTATTTGCTGATGACGTGATTCTATCTCATCCAATCAGAACAGCTATCATCAAAAACTCAAAAAAACAGGGAATGCTGGTGAGGATGCAGGGACACAGGGCCCCTTCTGCACTGTTGGTGGGAATGTAAATTAATGCAACCACTATGGAAGTCAGTGTAGAGTTTCTTTTTCCTCCAAACTGAAAGTTGAACTAGCATATGATCGAGATTTACCTCTCCTGACAGAATGAAAGTACCACACTCACCGTGCACAATTCACGTAGCCAAGGTATCCGGCCGCCTTTGTGAACAGCACACCCCCTCGCACCTCTGGGACTTTGAGCACACTCTCACCCTTGGCCCTGTCCACCCCTGAAACCCTCAGCTTCTGGTTTCAGAGCAATGCCTCAGAGACACCTGCAGAAGCTGAGCTAAGAAGACCCCCGAATTACCTCTTAGTGCCTAGGCCGTCCCTCACTGGTGTCCTAACTTTGCCTGTTGGATGCCCAACCCCACGCTTGTTCCCTTTCTGGCTTCTTATTTTTCCTTTTTGGAACATTTGATTTAATTTAATTTAATTTTTTTTTTTTTTTAAATTTTGAAACCCTTCTGGATTTTCAAAAAGTTGTACAGACCTAAAAGCATTCCTCTCAGGCGTCTCCCAGCTCCCCCAACCTAAACATAAACATCTCCCACAAACGGAGCGCTTGTATCCCAAACTAAGAAATGAGCATTGCGACAGCCTGGAATTCAGTGGATTTCACCACTTCCCTGTGCCAGTCCCACGTCGCCTTTAGTCATGGTGTCTCCCTGTCTCCGCCAGTCTGTGGGGTGGCTCGGGGTGCCCTTCCCTTCCCAACCCGACTCTTGGGTGACTGTCCCTCTGCTTGGGCATGGCTGCTGTTCCCCATGACTAGACTGAGCTGAGGAATTAAGGAAGGACCCCAGGGCAATTCCCCTGCCCCTCCTGCTGTGTGAGAGACACAAGAGGTCAACCCGAGTCCCTGCTGCTGACATCCACCGCTATCGCTGGGCCATGGCAGTGTCTGGCAGGAGATGTGACCGCTTTCACTTCCTGTGTTCTGTCCCTAGAGAGTCACACCCCATAGCGGCAGTTGTCCTCAACTGACATGTGATGCATTTCACTTTTCTATATTATTCTTCGTTATTTTTATTTTCCTGTCTCTCCACACTAGAACGTCAGCTCCGTGAGGGAAGCGGGTTGGTTTCTTTCACTCATCCTCGGCACCCGCAGCGGTGCCCGGCGCACGGTGGACATCCAGCAGACATCTCGTCACGGTTTGTCATTCTGTTTAGTCATTTGTTTATCCGGTTATTGCCAGGGCCTGTGTCTGCTGGGCTCCCTACTCTGCCCCGGCACTAACTACAGGCCTGATTTCTTCACGAACAGCCTTTGAATTGCGATTTCACTAAGCCCACAGTCATAGCTACTCCCTGGAGTGGCAAGTGTTTCCTATGAAGATCAAGGCCACAATCTCTCCTCTGGGTGTGTGCAGGGAGAGATGAGAAAAGCAGCGCTGGGCTTGTGTGTGTGTGTGTGTGTGTGTGTGTGTGTGATTAAGGATTAAGCCCAGGGGCTTCACACTGGACTATATTCCTAGCCCTATTAATTAATTAATTAATTGATTTAGACATAGTATCTCACTAAGTCACTAAATTGCCCAGGCTGAGTTTGAACTTGCAGTCCTCCTGCCTCAGCCTCCCAGACAGCTGGGATTACAGGTATGCATACACCACCACACCCTGCTAGCTCGAGACTTTAGAACTGCATGATTTTTCTGCATCTGGTTGTAGCTCGTCCAGAGGAGGGCTTAGGATCTGTGTGGCCAGAGGGCAATAAAAATTGGCTTTCTAAAACTAAGAATGAATTTGGCAAGAACTTCAGGAAGCTGAAAGGTAAGTTGACCCTATGGGCTGAATTGCGCTTCCCTCCCAAACTTGCGTGCTGGGGTTCTGACCCTTGATACCTCAGCATGTGATTGTATTAGGAGACAGAGCCCTTACAGAAATGATTTGGTTAAAATAAGTATAGTCCCAGGGGCTGGGGATTTAGCTCAGTGGCACAGCGCCAGCCTGGCAAGCGCAAGGTCATGAGTTCGGTTCCCGGTACCGGGAAAAAACAAATATAAAATAAAAAGTACAGTCCCTATTTGAATGTAACCAGCATTTTGATAATAAGAGAAAACTTAGACACAGACACACACAGAAGGAACAGGTGGTCACTTCAAGCCAAAGAGAGAGAGAGAGACCTCAGAGGAAGCCAGTTTTTCTAGCACCTTGACCTTGGACTTCTCACCTCTGGAAATTTGAGCAAATCAATTTCTGTTGCTTAAGTCACCCTGACTGGGACATTGTTATGGCAGTACTAGGAATCAAATTCAGGGGCTGAGAATGAGGATCTCCAGGGGAAGCCAAAAAAAATCTAATCCCAACAAATGCTGGTGAGGCTGTGGGGAAAATGGAGCTCCCCTACACTGTTGTGGGAATGTAAACTAGGAACACTAGCATGGAAATCAATATGGAGGCTCCTCACAAAACTAAAAATAGAAATTCTATTTGACCCAGCTATTTCCCTTCTAGGAATCTTCCCAAAATAGTTATAGCTGTCGTATTACAGGGACATATACATACTTATACTTATAGTAACACAATTCCTAATAGATAAACTTTGGAAGCAGCATACATGTCATACATACAGATGAATGGATAAGGAGAATGTGGAATACTACTCTGCTATAAAAAAGATAGACTTGAGGCATTCATAGGCAAATGGCTGCACCTTGAGACCATAACATTAAATGAAATAAATCAGATGCAGAAGCCTAAATATTGTATGGTTTCTCTTATGTGAGAAAATAAAAATGTGTATAGACAAATAAAAAGCAAAATAGAAGATAGATAAGTAGGAAACAGGGAGACGTTCAAGTGACTCCCCAAATTACTTATTCTGCTGTCCCAAAGATATTTTAATATATGCGATAGTGTGTTCCATTTATACTATAGTTTCTCTTAGTTCATTGAAAAGAAAGTTTTGTGCTTTCTATTTGCTTCTTCTTTGTAGGAGAGAATCTTTTTGTGTCTCTGAGTAACTACTTTGAAAATAATAATGCACAATGTGTAGCTATGGTTATTCTCTTATTATTTTGCTAGGGAATTTTGGATTTTTTTTCCACCAAAAATAAGTAAAATAGAAAGAAAGGACATTTAAAAACTTACATGGGTGTGATGGCTGAGGCACATGGGCACCAGCCTCCTCCTCTCCACCACAGAGCATGTGGCTGCTGGCGGCCCTGGGACACACTTCCGCACCCACCTGTGATCTAGGCCACTGGTAAAGCCCAGACTCACCAAGCCTGGCTTTCCCTGTGGGAAGCAGTGGGGATAGCAGTGGTTCCTGGCCCTGCGCAGTGTTATGGGGTGAATGTGAGCATCTGGGTGAAGTGACCCACACCAGGTCTGGATGGTGGTAGGCTCATGCCTCCCTTCCTGGAGCTGCCTCCATAAAGACAAGGGTACCCAGTCCTTGCAAAATGCTTTATTATAGTAGTGGACATAAAATTCAGAAAGTTAGCCACGGTGTCTGCAATTGACCCTCTTTTGCTTGCTGTAGATCTCTATTCTACACTGGCCAGGCCCAGGAGATTACACCTCGATTCAGGGGATGGCACCGTCCTGCACTGGTACAATTCCAACCTGATGCCCAACTGCTTTACTTAACTCGTGAGTGGCTCCCGAGTGTACTGAAATGGACCAGGGCTGGCATGGAACAGCCCAGCCTTTTTAATGACATTAAGGGGCCTTGGATGGGAACCTTGCCCTGATCCTTCACTGTATTCATGAGAAAACTGAGGTCCTGAGACAATGTCACTGCAGTGCTACTGGGTGGGTTAGAGCAGGGACGACAGCCCCACTGCACACCCATTCCAGTACCCCTTCCATACCACGGGAGGCCAGACTCACCCACCTGCTTCTGGGGGGCTGGGACCACCTTCTCACAGGGTTTTTGGGCCCTGGGCGGAGCATCAGTGGCTTGGACTCGGGCTGTCTGTGCTGCTAAGAGCATGCTGTGTGAACCTGGACAAGCACCCTGGACTCGCTGGGCCTCTGTGATAATCTCCACTGCTGAACATTTCTCCAAGGCACCTATGTCTTGCAACTGAGTGACAAGATGAGATCTTTAGCTTATTGATCTTCTTAGGATTATTGGACACCTCTTTAGTAACTAAACCTAAGCAAATCTCTAGCTACCAGCAGACAGATGGGCCAGGACACAACCCTGCCTCCCACTGTGCGGGCCTGTGAACAGGCCCCAGCTCAGGGCTGGGTCACTCTGCCAAAGAAGAGGATGGTCGAGGGCTCCAGAATGGCTATCAGAAAGGGCCTATTGAACCTGATAGTTCTGGAGTTCGGATAGGCTGATCTGAAGCTGAAGACCGTGCCTGTGCCTGACACCGCTCTGGTTCCCGACTCATCCACCTCCACCGTGGCTTTGTGCACCACCTGTGGGAGACACCAGAAATCACTGAGCTGCCAGGGGCCAGGAGAAGGCCTCAAGGCAATCGGCAAACCTTCTGCCTAGGAGCACCAGTGCTAAAGCACCTGTGCCCATGGGCCACAAAACAGGAGGAAACGGAACCTTGGACAGCTGTCCTGGCCCAGGAGCTGGGCCTGCAGCAGACTGCACAGGTTGGTCATTGGATTCTTGTGATATCTCAGGGTAAGGTTTGACTCTCCAATTTTGTAGACAAAAGAAAGGAGGCTCAGAGGCTCAGGTGTGTGTTGGAAGGTAGGAGCTTGCCAGAGTCTGAGTTTTGATTGCTTAACACAGGGCTCCTTCCCCTCACTGCATGGTAGAGGATGTGGCTCTGCATTGCAAGATGGGCAAGGCACAAAGGAAAAGCTTTGACTCTTTGGGGGAAAGAGGCGGTGGCAGAGAAAAGAACAGAGGCGAAAGGAGAGGAGAGGAAAAGGGAGGAGAAGAGATGGGGGAGAGGAGAGGAGAAAGGAGGAGAGGAATAATTTTTGAAAGAGATGCACAGGAGCTGTGGGACCCACCTGAGACACCTGGATGTTGGAGTGCTTGAAGATGCCTGACAGGTTAGCACTGAGGGTGAAGATGTCCCTGACGCCCAGGTTGGGGAAGATTTTCTCCAGTTGGTAGGAGCCCTCAATGGAGAACTTGGGAAGATAAAGATTCAGCCTCCTGGGAAAAGAAAAGAACCTTTCTTAGGCGGAGCACGGGCTCACTGGGCGGGAATTCCCGTCACTTCCTTGGCTGTTCACACGTGGTGGCTCTCTGCCTGGGAAGGAGTTCCCTTTGGCCTGGATTGGAGCTGATTGCAGAGGTGCCACCTCGGGAACTCAGCTTCCAGCCCTGGTGCCCCCGACTGAGCCAGGTCCCAGGTGCCAGGACCCCGTGGGAAGTCTTTGGGTTTGGAGGGAGGTCATTGGCTGGGTGGATCCTTCCCTCCACCGCTGGGCATGGGTTCCAAGGCATGGGTCTCCCTGGGCATGGGTAAGGTTGGACTGGCTCTGGAGGGGTCTGCGAATACCTGCGCATTGTCATCTGATTCCACTTCCTCAGTGTCTTCTTGCTCAGGCCGCTCTCCACCTGCTGCATCTTGCCCGGGTTGGGGAGAATGAAGTAGGCGGTGGCATTGCCTTCATAGGGGATGCCCACCACAGTGCAGGAGAGGTCCTTGTCCAGGAAGTAGAAGTACTGGTCTGCGCGGTTCATCATGGGCACCTGAAGCTTATTCTCCGGGGTCACGTAGAAGTCCTGATCCTGAGTGGTTTTGTTGTTGAAGCCAATCTCCCACTTAGCTGAAGAGGAACGTGGGGTGAGGAGAGGAAGAGAACCACGCGTAAGAACGAGAAATCCTCAGCTGCAGGCGAACAGGGCCGAGTATGAGCAGAGCCACAGAGAGCTTCCTTCGTGGAGTGGCCTCAGCGGCAGGGATCGCCTAAGCCCTTGGCTGCTGAGGCTGGGCCCCTTTCTGTCCCTCTGTCTTACAAAACAAGCAAATTGGCTTTCAGGTCTTAGAGACTCTTGGCCTCTACTGCTCTTTGACTCTCTGATACTGTGAAAGGCCAGGCATCCAAGCAAAGAGGATTGCAGAAATACAGATGGCCAAGAATGCTACCTGGTCACTGCGTTGTTTGCTCTGTTCCCAGCACTAAACTTTGATCTAGGTTTGGGAGAGAAGTTTGTAAGGGCCCCAGTGATACGTACCTTTGCTATTGGGTGTTTCTTTGCTTGTGCTTCCTTTCCTAGCTGTTTCCTAAGAACGTGTCTCATCAAAGCTCTACAAGCGACTGTTTTTGAGTTCTTAATCTTAACCAAGGGTAGATTCCCCCCTCTGTAGCCTGATGCCATGGGGTCAGCCCTGAACTGGAATCCAAGTTCCACACTCACCGTTGTGGTCTGCCTGTGCTCCCTCCCCAGATCCCTTCATTGATGTTGCAGCTCCCAAGGCAATAGCGTTAGGAGGTGGCTTTTAGGAGGTGAGTAGGTGGTGAGAGGGGGGGCCCCCATAATAGGATTAGTGCCCTTGGGGGGGGTCCCCAAGGACCTTGTGTGCTCTTTCCAGAGGGGAGGATGCAGTTAGTGCTAGCTGTGAATCTGGGAATTTGGCCTCCAGATACTGAATCTGTGGTTGAATGTAAACTTGCCAACATCCAGAACTGTAAGAAATGCATTCCTGGTGCTATGAGCCATCCTGTTTCTGGTATTTTGTTAGAGCATCCCAGTAGCACCGAGATTCACTCTCTGCAGCTAGGAATGGAGGGCTGTTGAGGATTTCACCCCCTTCCCTTTTCTCTTCTCTCTTCCCCTCTTCCTCCCCCATTGCCTTCCTCCATCCCCACCTCAGAGAGGTGTGCACAGGGCCCTTGGGCTCGGGTCTGGAAGAAGAAACGGACATGGGAGCAAAGGCGGCTTATCCACAGGGAACGTCAGGGAGATATGGACGAGGCCGCTCTCTCTGAGAAGCAGGGGGAAAGAAGCTCTGCAGAGAACCAGTGCCTGTCGGAACAGCCTGGCTGCAAGGGAGCGCCTAGGGGGCAGTGTGGCCAAAGATGGGGCAAGGGAGAGGCTGGGCGTGCCCTCCTGCCTCCCTCAGGCCTGTGCTCCTGCCTCAGGGTGCGGGGCAGCAGTGTCGCTGGTGCGATGGCCTCAGCAGACTCCTGCCTCCGCAAGACAGGGCCAGCTCCTCCCCGGCAGTACCCAGGTTCAGTGCAGCCATATGCAGCAGGTGGCCGCTTCCTTACCTGTGGCTGCTTGCTGCTTCATTCACATGAGCAGGCCCTAGGGAGGACTCAATCTCCTCTTCCCCTTATATGGGAGGGGCATGGGTATTGTTTTGAGCAAAGCAGCAGAAAGGAGAAAGTTCTGGCCTCACCTTTAAAGCAGATGTAATTCACCATCACCATAACGGCGGTGCTGTCAAGGTTCTGGATCAGGCCTGCAATCTTGCCCTGGGTTTGCTTGGCCAGATAGTCATTGATCTGCTTCTGGGCTGCTGCAGGGTCTTCAAAGTTGGTGGGATAAATCTTGGCCAGGTATGTGGTCATTATGGTGAGCTGGAAGATGTTGTCGATGACCAGCCCCTTGTTGATGAAAAGGGCATTGCCGAGGTTCAGCTGGAAGCTATCTCTGTGCTGAGTGAGCCCCATCAGCAGCTGCCGGAAGTTGTCGTGGAACTGGGCCATTGCTTGGTGCTGGGGCTTGAAGCCCAGGGCCCCCAGGATCTGCTCCTGGGTGTTGCCCTTGGCCCCCAAGGACAGTATGGCCAGGATCGTGGACACGCTCAGTGGGGAGAAGAAGACGTTCTGGCTGGGGGAAGCGGAAGCCAAGGCCCTGTAGAGTTCGAAGGTGAAGTCCCTGCTGCTCGGCTCCTTGGGCAGCTTCGTCTTAGCCCGGAGGCGGCGGGACAGGGCCCCCTGAGGGCTGAGGAGAGCCAGGCACAAGAGCAGAAGGAGCTGCATTGTGGCTGCCGATCCTGAGGGCACAGTGGGAAGGTGACCTCAGGATGTGGGCCAAGGGAGGAAGACAGCTGCAAGTCAAGCGAGCTGTCCCTACTCGTCACCCAGTGTGGAGCTGGTCCACGCGGCCCCAAAGAGGAGCGGGGACACCCGTGGTGTTAAGAGTGAGGGTTTAGGGATGCCAGGAGTGGCTGTACAGAGACGTTGGATGGGGACATCTATGGAGGGGAGGGAAAGAAGGCAGAGGAGGGGGATACCCGAGGCTGGGACCGACCACCAGGAGGAGTCGTCCCCCCTTGTCCACGCCGAGGCTCGTACTGAGTGGGCCTAGAGGTCAGGCAGCTCCTGTGTTCTGCCTGGCCCACAGCCCTGAGGTTACCAGGCAGCGAGAATCTGCCACCCTGTGTAGCCTCTGACCTTTCCTTCTGTCCTGGTCCAGCCCTTGGCAAGGCCTTGTGCTGCCGTCAACACTGTTGGCTTTGTCCTGGGGAATCCACTGAACACATAGTGAGCAACCAGGACATGGATGGGTCCCTGCTCCTTCCCCCAGAGCTGCCCCAGGCCACTCCTGTCCCTCACCAGACACACTGTCCTCTCCTGAGAACCTGCCCTTTTCATGTGAACGTCTCACCTGCCCTCCTCTCTGAATGTGTCCTTCAGAGTTGCTGTGCTGAAACGCTCACCCTAACTTCTCACCCTGGGACTGCATTCCGGGACAGGGCCTTTACAAGACCTGACTGAGTGGTCTCCAGGTCACTGTGGTGGTCCCTCGTCTAATAGGACCGGTGTCCTTGCAGAGGAAAAAGGCTGGGACACAGACTCACACAGAGGTGGACTGGAGGGGCCCCGAGAAGACACCACCTGCAAGCCAAGCAGAGTGGCCTGGGGATCTGAACCTGCCCGCCCAACCTTGACCTGGATTCCAGCTGCAGCCCCCACTCTGGGCCACTGGGTGGAGTTGCCCCCTCCCGTGCCTTCAGTCCCTCCTCCCTTCTGCCTCCCAGCACCTCCTGCACCCCGACCTTCCCTGCTCTTGCCTCCTCATCTGGCCTCAGCCGGAAGTCCTCCAGCACCTGAACCCCTTAGTGGTGAGGAGCCTGCTCTGGAGCCTTGAAGCCCAGCCCACTGTGACCTCACACGTGCTTTGAGGAATATTAGCACTTCTGGAACCACCTTGCCGCCCAGGAGATGGGGTGGTGGCAGCACCAACACTAAGGGGGGCTGGGGTGAGCCCACCACCATGAGTAAGGTGCCTGGAGCTCTGCCCTGCATGAAGCACATGCTACGGAGCTGGGGACGTCGGCTGGCAGCATCTGGCCAAAGCCCCATCTGACACCCCATTTCCTCAGCCTTGCTGTGGGTGCCAGCTTCACACATGCCCTCCTGTGAGCCAGGGAGGAGGTGGGGGGTGACACCCCAGTCTGCAGTTCTTGGAGTGTCTCCTCTGACCCTCCACATGCACCATGTCCTCAGTCCCTGGACCCAGGTATGCCAGGACAGCCTGCCGTAGTCACGAGATGCAAACCAAACCAAACCCCAGAGGGCAGTGCTGGAAATGGCTGCGGCTCAGCCCATGGGGGAGGCTGGACAAGACGGGACCCCGGGTCAGGCAGGCAGGGGCTGCAGGCCTGTTACACCCGCATGGAGCTGCAAGGCTCAGCCGGGTCACCCTCCCTAGCCCTGGTCTCCAGACAGCACCAGGACCCAGAGAAGGAGGTTCATTGAGAGCTCTCTGTCTGCAGAACCTCTGGGCACCAGGAGGCAAACAGGCAGCCCTGTGGTCACCAGCCACGCCCTCTGCCAGGCCCTGGCTGCCTCCAGCTGTCCGCTCCCGCAGCCACGTGCCTGAGCCAGGTAGTTCCCCACTTTACAGTGGGGAAGCCGAGGCTGGGCGGGCTGAGTCACTCGCTGGCTGTGGCTGAGCAGGGACTCAGACCCCCTTCTGACTCTCCTGCCTCTTTCAGACCCCTGTCCATGCCACTCCTCTGTACCCTGGGCTCTCCCTTTCTGCGCCACAGCTCCCTGCATTTGGGGTGCCCTCAGCCCTAATCTGCAGAGAGCTCAGACTTGTCCTCCCAGCTTCCCAGCCACACTCCCACTCTGTTCCCACGGCGACAGCTGCCCCCAGGTTTGCAGGGACACGTGGGGGGTGTGATCTCGTGTCCTCTGCAGTAGTCTATCTTAGGGCACGGGCTGGTCCCTCCCGCAGTGCGAGAACCCTCTATGTATCAACTTTCTCCAGAGACACTGTTCAGCTGGCAGAGCCCCAGGGAGCTGATAACACCACGCCAGAGCGGCTGGGAGGCGGGGGCAGAGCCTGGGCTCCTGCAGGCAGCCGGTGCAGCCTCGCATCCCCTAGAGCCGGTCTCCGCCCCTCCCCAAGCCTCTGTTTCTTCCTCAGTGGCCCCAGCTCTGTAATGAGCTGTGGCCACCACACCCTGCGTCTTCAAGCACCAGAAATCTACAGGCAGAAGCCCCCCGACCTCTTGGGGGATCAGGGTCTGATCTGGGGGAGGCCCAGATTTACTCAGTCTTCCCTGGGCTGCAAGATTGAGGAACAGAAATCTTCCCCCCTGTGAGCCCCCTCTTGTATTAAGGCACTATTTAGGAAGGACCTATCAGATGCTGTATAAATATTACTACCTCCAGTCCTCACCAAAAGTGTTATTGGCCCCATCTTACAGATGAATAAACTGGGGCAAAGTGAAATAGAAGGGCATGGCACACTTCTGTCCCAATTCCTTACACACAGGCTCTGTCTCACCCCCAGGGCCTTTGCACATGTTGTTCTCTGCTGGGATCCCCTTCTGACCTTCCTCACAAAGCACCTCATACACAGGCTTCAGTTCTGCTTGAATGTCATTTTCAGAGACACCCTTTCACACCCAGCCCTCGCTTCTTCCACTGTTGTTCTCCGTCATGGTCCCTGGGGTGTTCCTGTGTGCAATCATACGTGCATCTGTCATGGACCTCTTTTGCTCCACTCTAACCTACAGAACAAGTGCCCATTGCAGGGAGGATCTGGTCCATGCTCCTTGATACACGGGCCTCTGCCATCATGGCACACGGCACCGTGCCCCACTGAGGAGTGAATGAATGAATGAATGAGTGAATGAAGGAGTGAGTGAATAAATGGACCCCATGCTCCTTTCTGACCTCAAAGTGTCAGCTGTAACCTGGACACAGCAGGATGCGGGGCTAGGCTGGACACCAGGCTGGACACCAGCCCCAGGTCTCTGCCAGGCCCCCGGGGTAACTTCCTCCTGTCACTCAGCAGAGCTCCTTCCTTTTCTTTTACTTCCCTTTTTCTCCTTCTTTGGATCACCCACCCAGCTGAGGACAGACAGCCGAACCTCTTAGACATACAACTGAGAGTCTGGACACAAGCGCACCCCAGGGGCTGTCACCTTGGCAGGTGCTGCAAATGTGTCCACCACCCCGGAGGCCTCCTGCTTCTGCTCTCCAGGCTGCGGCTTCAGATCTGTGCAGAGGGCATGCCCCGGGGAAAGGTTTCCCCTTTCGCTCCTATTTCTATGTTCTGCTTATCTAGAAAACTGCCAAGCGGCTCTGCTGCAGCTCACAAGCAGCCTCCCGAACATCCTGGGTGCAGCTTCCAGCCCAGAGCTGCTTATTTCTGGGAAACTGATCATCTTGGACAGTTCTGCTGATCGCTAAAGGCCTGAGACTCCAGGCTGGGAGTGCTGCCTGTCCAGCAGACACCTTGCTGGTGCTACTTGGTTTGGGATTTCTCATCCTTAGCCCTGCTGACATTCAGGCCGGAGGGGGCTCTGTATCTGCCTACTGTGACAATGACACATCTGCAGAGGGGCTGGTGTGTGTCCGGGCGAGACCCTCTACCGTGTCTAACCCTTAGTCACTCCTTGCAGAGCACACAAGGAAACTGAGGCTCAGCCAGCCTTAGTGTGGAGCCCAAGGTCACACGGAGGCTCCAGAGGCCCTCGCTTGCTCCTGACACCGCCCACCACACTGGGTCTCCCCAGAACTTTTGATGCCCCTGAACACCGTGCTCCACGATTCCCCTCACCCTGCCTCTCGCAGCCTCGGCCTGTGGCCCCTTCCACGCGGCATCTATACTCACTCTGTCCCACAGCCACTTGAACACCGCTGGAGTGGCCGTCCACCAGGCTCAGGCTCAGGCTCAGGAAGGGACAAGGGGCAGGCTGGACTGCAGTGTGAATTTATACCCGCAGCCCTGTCCCTACCCCTGCCCTGGCCACGCCCCAACCTGCCTTGTCCTTCTTGGCAGGCCTTCAGCCATCAGGCCAGCTCTAGGCCAAAGGGTCCGAGCCAAGGCTCTGACGTGACCACCCACTCAATAATACAAGCCTAGCACGGCACGGGGCTCTGGGGAGATAGGAATGCCATGCTACCTAATTAGCGCAGCCAGCCTGGGGGTGACACCCTCAAGCCCCCACTCCCTGGACTGACAGGAGACACGCTGCAAGAATCCAGCCTGCTCCTTTGCCAGGTTCTGATCCTGCGGCTAATTTCCTCTGGGGCCAGGGAGTGGGGCTGAGCCTATCCCCAATAGGCCAGCTCTGAAAACCAGATCAAGACCCAGCATCCAATCTTCCTGGCAAAGAGAATCCCATGATGGCTGCACTACAAGGGTCACTGAGTCTACTCCTCCCTGGGCAGTAACTCAAGTGAGGCCCAGAAGACTAAGGGAATGACCAAGTCACACCTGAAATTAGGCGCAGAAGGGGGCTTAGTGCCTGAGGGCCGACTTCAAGGCCAGTGCTCTTTGCCCAGGAGAAGGCAGGAGCTAGAATCTCTAAGGGCGGGGCTGGGGATTTAGCTCAGTGGCAAAAGCGCCTGCTTGGCAAGCGCAAGGTCGTGAGTTCGGTTCCCGGTACCAGAGAAAAACCAAGAAAAACCAAAAAAAACCAAAAAAAAAAAAAAAAAAGAATCTCTAAGGGCTTGGCTAGATCATCTTCTTCTGTCCCACGCTGTCCCATGCTGGGAAGGGCATTTCCAAGACACGGGTGCAGGGCCCTGGCTCAGGCCTTGCTACATTTTCAAGGTCTCCAAGCCGGTGCCCTGTGCGTGGTGGGTGCAGACAGGATGCGGAGCTAGCAGAGCAAAGCAGGAGCTGGGAACCTCCCAGGGGAAGTGGCCTTCACACTCAGCCTGCTGGTCCTGCACTCCCTCCAGGACGGTTTCCTGACCTCCTCCCCCACGGCATTTGGGCCAGTTAAGGGGCTGCGGGGGAGGGTTGCCCCGGAATGGTAAGAACTAGTTTTCACTGTTGCTTACATCCAACCCCCTGCTCCGTGCATGTGCCATCCCTGGCCTCACAACAGTCCTCAGGGATCTTAGCCTCCGTGTAGACCTGAGCAGGACTCCCCCTGGTGAGCAGCCCTTTCTGTGACCTGGACTCTTCCGGTATGCTAATGACCTAGAAATGGGGAGGTTATCCCGGGTTATCCAGGTGAGTCCTGAAAGTCTCCCAGGTTCCTTATAAGAAGAAGACAGAGGAGGTGGAGTCAGGAGAAGGTGTAATGTAATAATGAAGGCAGGGGAGAAATGGCAGTGTGTAACAGGGGCCACCAGCCAGGGAGTGTGGGAGCGTCTGGAAGCTGGAGAAGGTGAGGACTGACCCCCGCTTAGCCCCCAGCCTCTAGAAGGAGCACAGCCCTTCCCATAGCTTGACTGGGCCCTGCCACAAAGGGCAAACTTGGGTTGTAGGAGTCGTTTGTGACAATTTTTTTCACTGGAATCATCAGGCTAATGGCACATGCCTAAGTGGTTTCCAGGTGAAACAACTTGGGAACAGTGAGACCAACCAGGACACGGTGGTCCTTCCCAGCCAGAGTACTGTGTGTGACTGACTGTCCAAGGTCTGAGGACATAGCATGTATGACTTTTCCGGGCAGCCAAGGCACGGTGCTGGGAGTATCAGTTAGCGAGGGCTGTGTAATACAGAGGTAGATGGAGATAGAAATGAGAGAGAGAGAGAGGGAGAGAGAGAGGGCGACAGAGAGAGAGAGAACACACCTCAGTGTCTCTTACTGTTCTTATGAGCACAGCCGTTCTTTTGGAGTAGAGTTCAAGGCTTATGACCCCACTTTACCTTACCCTCCTCCCCAAAGGTCTGTTTCCAAATCCAGTCACACCAGGCAGTAGGATGTACATGAATTTGTTTTTTTTTTTTGTTTTGTTTTGTTTTTGTTTTTGTTTTTCTCCAGTACCGGGAACCGAACTCACGACCTTGCGCTTGCCAGGCAGGCGCTTTGCCTTCTGAGCTAAATCCCCAGCCCCGGATGTACATGAATTTGGAAGGACACAGTTCAGCCCATAGCGATGGGAAGGGGCCGCGGAGGGGACAGGGTCTTAGGGCAGCACTAAGGGAACCAACTCTAACCTTCAGGTTCTTGTTCGGTTTGGCGGAGGACTCCTCTGCTTGACCCTCCGCTCTCCAGCACCAGGTGACTTCCCTGGCCGGGGAAGGGCTGAGTGACACCAGCTCGGGGCCCAGCTGGGGCCTGGGGCACCGCTCATGGTGAATAGCATGCTGCCACCCATCCTGATCTCCTTGAGACTGAGATTTCTCAAGATCTGTGACCCTCAGTGACAAAACCAGAGAGGGCCTGGCAAAATGACACAAAGTGCTCACCCTACTTTCTAGGCCCTCGGATCTGGTTTCTAGGTTGAACTCCTGATAGGAGCCTGGAGTCTTAGTCACACCCTTCTTCTGTACTCATCCCCTATGGGGCTTCAGCCCTGCCTTCACCATCTGCTATGACACTGCTGTGGCCACCATGCTGCCCTCTGCCTGTCACCTGCTTGCCTGCCTG